TTGAGTGACATTTGTTAATTATTTTAGTTGTTGCTGTTGGTTGGATATCCTCAGGTGATGTAGTTCCTATTAATTCGTAGCGTTCATTAAACCCACAGAAGCTTAATTCGCTTTAAGCTTATTTTGATCATTGACCTAAGAAAGCGGTTGTATACTACAGACAGTTTAGATGTTGTTTTTAACTAGTTTTGCTTTTAAGTTATGGTTTGATTTTGCTGCAAATTGGAGTGTTGGGCAAAATTAACTCTAGCGCCACCTATTCTATGTTGATTTTCTTTATCTTCGATTTCAAAGGGATCGAAAAACTACATTAGAAATGAAGTAAAAGTTGTTGGTATGAGTAAATATTTTCTATATTCTTATAAAAAATGAATAATAGTAAAGTGTATAATCTAAATAATAAGTTGGAATAAAACTAGCAATAAAATAATTATATTCAACAAGATCGAATTAAATTCATTTATATCAATATGCTGGTATAATGACGATACTCCAAATTTCAGGCGTATGTATATATTTAGTTATCCGCTTAGGCATTTTTTAAACATATTATTTCCCCATTACAATGTACTTTTTTTCTACTGTGACACCTTAGGGCAGATAGGGAAAAATAATAGACGACATCTTGTAAGACAACGCAGTCTGCTGCGGAAAGGAAAAAAGGCATCAATTGTCCTGATAATACAGAACTTGTGAACTCAGCTAAAAGCTAATCATATCTGGCTTCTGAAATGTCTGCGGCTGCAAGCGTTGTGTCGTGCTGCTGAGACTTTGTACCAAAACTAAATGACAAAAAATAGCTGAATACATCAGTAAGCCTGTATCCTTACAATAGGAAAAAAAGAATTTATTTTACACAGTTAATAATTATTTTTTCAGCACAGCATCAATATTTTTTATTAATGCACATAATTCAATAGTCATTGTGATGTTTTCTCCTATGACAGTGAATGCAGGACCATTTCCTCATAGATGAAGAGAATACAAGAAACAAGAGAAATGTGGTTCTTCAGAAGCATGCTGACAATACCTTAGACGTAATCAACGAAGAAGTCTTCAGGAAAATGAAAACAAAAATAACACTTATGTTTAAGATCAGAAAAAAGTAGATGAAATTGCATGGACACATAATGAGGAAAGAGGGCTCGGAGAATTTGACACTCGAAGGAAAAAGGGAGAGTGGGGGCAAAGTGTCACCTACCTGAAGAGCTTGTGCGAATTTGATGGCTGAATGGGCTGGGTGGAATATATTGCAAAAAGACAAACGTTGCTAAGAGCTAGAAGGGATAGGAAGATGGGGAGAACTATGATCGTTCAACTTCTGAAGGGACACAGCACATAGATGAAGGAGATAAATAGGGCGATGTACTGGAGCATATCGGAAGCTAATTTCTACTGTTTCGTGTAACAGCTGACGCTTTAAGAGCTTTGGAGCTTTCAAAAATGTAACAACCCGATATATACAGTTAAAGTAACCCATGATACTTTTGTTTTCAGAAACAAAGGGTGATTTTAGAGGCCTATTTAATTTCATAATTTTAATCCAATTGAAAATTTAAGGTTAACGTTAAAAGATCGAATTCAGCTAAGGCACGTCAGCTTTGTTAATGTTTTGAATATATTCTGCAAGAAATTAGAAAATATTTTTTCTATTAAATTGGAAAATTCTCGGGTATATTTAAGCGTTCATCAAGCTCTTCCTCGGAGTTTTCCCACGTTTGAATCACTCATTTTTTTCTCTTAATGATGTCGAAATGTCTGGTTCTCTTTCACTCCGTGCGAAATAAGCATTTACCTTTTTTTTTGTAATTAATTAAGTGTATGGTATATCTGAGTCTACTCATAGACTACATATTCTACGAGCATCCATAAAATTGTGCCAGTGTCTGACTCACTGGCTTTTTGAGTAACTTATTATCAAATGACAACTTTCTTCCTTCATACGTTCCTTATTTTCAGCACTTTCATTTCTTCTTAGAGATTTTTGGAACAATGAAATATACAGAAACTGCTCCTTTGTTTTACTGAAAGAACGATAGAAACTCAATTTTCTAAAACCATGTTCTAAGAAGGCAAAAATAGGTACGGAATTTTGATGAGCCGGCAAAATCTCCTGCAATGAATGAACATCATTTGTTGTTTGGCATTATTCAAATATGTGCCCATTGATACAAATAGAGTAAAATGCGGCAATTGTTTGTTAAAACCTGGGAAACATCTATTCTTGACATATGTATGTTTGAAGAAGATATAGAAAGTCGAAAGATGAGAAAAGTCGACGTCGACTAATTGAAGCAGCAGATAAATAACATGCAATACATTATCGTCGCAATTGTAAGAAAGTTAAATCTATTTTAAGAATAGATCCAAATATCCGAAAAGACTGTATAACAAAACAGGAAAGCTTTTAATAAGTTATATAGATCTCCCTACTCTCAATAGTCAAGGTTCGCGACATGATAAAAAGTCATGATTTTGAATGATGAGTTTCAAGAGTGATAGACAATTAACACTGAGAAGTTTGGCGTAAGATAATCTTCCTGTATCCGTGTACCGTAATTTGATATTTTCTGTACTAAGTTTTAATGGTTGCCTTTTGAATATAGTGGTAAAATTTGCTATTTTTGTCTTCTAAATATATTTATCAGAAAGACGTAATTTTAGGTAGTATCATATTTTTTGAAATCATTTCAGCTCAAGCAAGGCAACAAAGCCACTAAGACGCAGGAGTGTGAAAGAATATAAAAAAGAAAACCATTTATAAGAAGCAAGAACAATAGAAGAATAGAAATTAAAAAAAAAACCTAAAGTAATGACTGACATTACTTTTCAAATTTTGAAGATCAAACTTGTCTTGAAATCAAGATCTACAATCGAGAAGTGCGAGAAAAGAAACTGCCAGAATTGAAAGTTTCAACTGTACAATGATGAGCGCTCTGGTATTGCGCTTAATTCCATAATGTGAAGGTACCATCATGGAGAGTTTATCACAACAATTACCATGGAAGTATTTATAGAAAAAAGCAAGTTACATTACGGCGGTTGGAGAGTGACTGAAGCCGAAAGGCCAGATCAGGCCTAATGCCATTACAAATTCTTCTTAGGATTTTATCAATAATCTCTAAATATATAGCAGAAGCACCAGCACGATCCAAAGGAATACAGAAAATTAGATTTAGAGACTGGCTGCAGGAGTTGCCAGTAGGTTGTCAGTGTTGAAAGTCAACCGATTTTCTGTCTAGAAGTACTTCCATAGCATTTTCAGTGTTTGTATATGGCTGCAAGGGAGCGGAGTTTATCTTCCCTTATATGGATCACGTTCTCAGGTGGTCGAACTCAATTTGCCCGAAACAACTGGTTATGAGGCGCCAGTGGTCAGTCTTCGTTTCTTCTCCAGCCTGAAGCTAGACTTATTTTTCAGAAGCTATTTGAGACGTATGCTATCGGATCATTTTATAGACAGTGGGAACTTGTCTTAACTACCACCACCGGGTATGACAACATTTGCAAAACATACAGATATAAATATTACATACGTTTCGTGTTGTAGAAGCTCTCTCCAAATTAACGCTTTTTTATATATATATATATATATATATATATATATATATATATATATATATATATATGTATATAATTTTATTTTTATTTTATTACCTATATATGGGCGGTGTGGAAAAAACCCCAGATAATACAATTTGTGAATAAAAAGATATTAAACAAACCGATATCTGAGAAAAAAAAAATCAAGAACAAAAGAAAAGAATAAAAAACGTTCACCACAAGAAAAAAAAAACGGTTAGGGAAAGAATTCTTTAGAATATTAAAGAATAATTTTTCCGCGTCGAACAGCTTATATAATATATTTAACAAAAATACCATTAAATTTAGTTATAGTTGCATGCCTAACGTTGCAAATTTGATCAATAAATGCAACACTAAAAATTAAAGAATAAACAACATATCAATTCCCTCAAATGAAACTATGAATACGGCCACTTGTCTCCTGAATGCATAGTGTATAACGTGGAGGTGTATAGCAACAAACCTAATAATAGTAGTAATAATAATAATAGTTGTAATGATAAAAAAGTTTACGTGGGTTCAACCCAAAGACCATTCAAAAAAGATATTACAATCATAGAAGTAGTTTCGCACATGAAATATACAGACTTATTTTTTTACTTTTGTTTTTGTTTTTATGATAAAGTTTTACTCTTTATGGTGGCCGGTTTTCAATAAAATGTCGTTGGGCCAACCCGCTTTAACCAGAGTTATCCTTGAAAACGAATCTAGCATCATTCGAAAATACTTGGAAAAAATAATGTAAAATAAATGTATATTTGGACAAAAAACTTTTCTTTCAAACATGTTTCGTTGAATATGCCAGACAATGAAAATTTGATGGCTTTTTTATTTAGTTTTTCTAATATTTTAAAATTTTTACGTTTGGTGGGTTAAAGGGATGTGAAAATTATCTATAGTGTCTATTGTCCCAAGCGCTTTCAGCCACTTTAGCCATTTTCAATGAGGGGTTTCTTGTTAAGTGTCGTTAATTCATTTTCATGTATGCCGGTTTAAGATGATCCCCAAATAGTAGCTTTGCACTTGGAATTCGAAGTAGTGTCTTTCTATTTAAAAAAAAATCTTCAACACAACAGTTCCACTGCTGAATAAGATGAGATTTGTACTGGGTGCCAAATGTTTTATATATCCTTTTATATAATATGCCAAACACACACATACACACACACAGAAACACATACAAGCATAAACACACACACACACACACATATATAAATATTTAAATTTTCTTTGTGTGTAATAATTGAGGTACAGCGTGCGAAATGTTGGCATGAGACGCACAGAAGTCATGACCCCATTCATGTCCATAGGCAAAAAGCTACCCCGCGTACAAACTTACAAAGGAATCCATCTCTTTGCGAACTACGATCAAAGCGAAACGAGTGATGGAGAGTAGGCACTAAAAAAACAGATACATAACTGCAAAGAAAGAATGAAAGAGCGAGCAAGCGAGAGAGAGAGAGAGAGAGAGAGAGAGACAGACAGACAGACAGACAGACAGACAGACAGACAGAGAGAGAGAGAGAGGAAAATAGAAAGGGATAGAGAGAGGAGATAGATATGTGTCAAAAACTTCGCCGATATTTACATTTTACTAGCAGTAGAGCCCGGCGTTGCCCGGGGATGTAACAGTAAGAGATAGATCAAGTATCGACCATCATAAAGACTGAAAAATAAAATTGACAAAGATTATTGTTTATGGTTGACGGACACGCATGTTTTAATTAGTTTTTTTTTTTTTACGAATTGGTCAAACCCAAACAAAAACATTGTTTTCAATCGTTATGAGTCTACCGATTGAATAGAATTTTATTATAAACAATTGTCTTTTAAATGGAATTTTTAATGCATTCTGAATGTAAAATAAAAAAAAAAAGTGTGCAAGAAAATAAAAACACTACCAAAAAAAAAAAGTAAAGTTTTGTTGAAATCGGTTGAAAATGTAGGAAATCCGATCCCATATATAAACACACACACACACACACACACACACACACACACACACACACACACACACACACACAACCTGGCTTTTATAATAAGTATAACTCGATATGAGTTGTCCCCCTTTCATCCTCGAAACAGCGATGCCTCTTAATCATGTTTTTAAATTGATTTCGTGCAAAAACAATTGTGTTTTTTTCAATTTTTGGCACTGTCAGAACCACCGCAAGGTAATTTTACGTAGTCCTGTGAAGTTTTGTTGAAATCGGTTGAAAAATGTAGGAAATCCTATCCAATATATAAACGAACAGACACACAAACACACAACCTGGGTTTTATAATAACTATGATTTCAGCTTGAATTTAACTTCACGTAAAGTTACTTTTCTTCGAGTTGTCTTGGATTGTGGTATCGACTATCAATAGCGATGATGTCCTAATTTCTCAGCAAATTTCATTCTCAAGAATACCCAAGGTATGTCACAAAAGGGCGCGTACAATAGCTATGCGTGCACGCACGCACACACATTTATTTCCTAAAGAAGTAATTGATTTTTATTTATTAATCCGACATATTTTTATCACTTTAAATTTTATATTTAGTGGATACCCATATTTGAGTTGACGCTTCGTTCTTTTTTTTTAATCAAATTCTCGTCCACTGGTCTGAATATTCAGGAAATTTTATTAAAGAATATATGGCCTTCCGGCAGGTTTCGAACCTGAGTCCCCTTTTGTAGGAGACACTTTTGTTAGATCCTACGTAATTTTAACCGACTTGGCCATGAAGAACGTCGTCGAGTAAGGCAGTATCAAACCATGTTTAATTGACGACAGTCTTCGTGGCCGAGTCGGTATATAGTACGTAGAATCTAGGAATAGTTTCTTCTGTAAATGGGGACGCCAGTTCTAATCCTGGGGAATGTACATTTTTTTTCTCCAATAAGATCTCTCGAATATTCAGTCTGGGAGACGAAAATAAATATACTCTTTAAAAAATAAATGCGGCGTCTACTGTAAAATATGGGTATCAGCTAAAAATAGCGTTTGAAGTGATAAAAATATATATTTATATATATTTTCAGTTTTGATTGAAGATGAACGAAATATTGTTTTTCTTCAAGATGTTTTAGTGGTATGGTTTTTTAGGTACTTTTGTTTTGGTTCACCATTTCTGTGACCTGGTATTGAGTTAAAGGGAAAATAACTGAGACATCCGGAAGAAGGCCGGAGCATACAACGACCGAAACGTTGTGAATATGGCAATAAAGATGAGAATAACAGTCCGAATAATGTAAATAATGCAAGTGATTATTAATAATTTTAATAAGGATTGATATTATGAGATAAAAGGCATATATATTTTTCATCTAATTTGTTCATACTCGCCAAAAAAGTAAGTGTTTATACCAGGTAAAGGAGGAGAACCCCTGCCCCTGAGAATATTCGACACCATCGGGAGAAGAATTCATTGATTCAGCCGTGGAGAAATGCTGAGAACCGTTCTGATGAATACAGCAGGAAAGAAAGAAAGAAAAAATGGCAGGAGAGATAAAGGGAAAAGACGTGACCGAAGAAAGGAAAACACAAAAGTGAGGTAAGAGTGATAAAGGAAGAGGACAGATAAAGAAAATGGAAAAAAAAAAAAGACAAATCGAGTGAACAAAAGTGATTGAAAGAGAGAGGAGGAAGAGAGAGAAGAAGAAGCAGAAGAAAAAGAGGGTGAATAAGAGCCAAAGAAAGAGAAAGAGAGCAAGAGAAAAGTGAGAGTTAGTATGTATTACTTATACATAGATAATTCAAAGCTACATTGGAATAGAGAAAGATGCTTTCCAAAAGCTAAGCAAAGTATTAAGAAAAACAGAAAAAGTCTTTAGAATCAAAGAAAAGCGTGCTCAACTTAAATATTTTATAATTCATCCTACATTGCTGTGAATGCTAGACAATTTCTTCACGGATGAAGATGAGACTTGAGTCAACAGAAACATGGTTTTAGTGAAGGATGCCGAGAATACCAAGGATGTAGCATGTGAATAAAGAGGAAGTTTTAAGTACGCTGCAAACAAAATGGACAAATTGCTGGGAACAATAATTAGGAAAGAAGGTTTGAAAATGTCGACACTCACAGGACAGAATAGAGGCAAGAGGACAGATATAAACAGAAAGTAATCTATTTAAGGAGCTTATAAACAAGACAGAAATTGTTCATAGCTATAAGAAATAGGAAGTTGTGGAGAACCATGATCGCTCACATCCTAAAGGGACACAGAAGAAGAATGATCTGAAAATTTTATCAATATCAAATTCTTTATGAAATCATTGACTTGCATAATAAAATCTGTCATCCTGACGGAATGAAAGAATTAAAGATGTGAAAATGCGCACACACACACACACACACACACACACACACACACACACACACATATATATATATATATATATATATATATATATATATATTGTATAGTTGGCCCTCGATTTCGAGGATACCCATCTATTAGGGTATCTAGCTAATCCCTATTGCAGACGCTTGCTCAGGCATATTTCTGTTTGTTCAACACCCACAGAGCCTCCTGTAATTTATATTGCAACTATGCTGAGCAGACCTTTGATACAGTTTCTTGGAGAGAGCGTGTTATCTAGCGTGATCAACAATTTGAACAAAGCCAGCGCGCTCAGATCCTCGCCCACGATGACTAGCACAGCTATCGACGGCCCCCAAGATTTCCGTCAATCCAATTTCACTCACAAAACTTCGGTCAACCCGTGGTATGGTTTTCAGGCACTTTCCAAAGGTGTCGCATGCTGGGATCGACCCCTCCAGTTGTATAACAACAGAAAATTACCTTTTTGACAAATCGACCATGCGAACGTTCTAAGCACTCATATATATATATATATATATATATATATATATATATATATGTGTGTGTGTGTGTGTGTGTGTGAAGAAAAATATATACGAAAAAAAACAAAACAAAATCCTTATATACAATTATGCTGTTTTAATGTTAATATATCAACGTCTGACGTTTCGGTCTAATAAACCATCTTCAGGACATATTCATAAATATAATATTATCAATACAACATGACAAAGACGATGTACATAAGAACAAGACTTTTGCCAAACAAATAACTTTAATATTATAATATTAATAAATTTAATATATAAGGATTTTTGTTTTGTTTTTTCCGTATATAATTTTCTTCATACTGTCGGATCTATATCCATATATTTGCTTATATATATATATATATATATATATATATATAAGACATTTTTTATGTTTATACGTTCTTTTTATAGATACAAATACTTAAGTAAATGCTCTGTTTATAATAATATAAAAATAATTGTCGGACTTTGTCCATTTCATAATGTGTGACATCCTTTGTTTACATTTCGATACGCATCAAGCAGATATGAATGTACGAGAGAAAATCATGGAGAATTGTAAGTTTAAAAACAGTAAAATGGACCTTGCTAACCGAAACGCTCCTCTGTGACTCAATCGATAAAAGCACGTCAGGCTATATGACTGTTCCGTATAAGATACAGGTTCGATTACTATCGGAGGACACATATTCTCTATGACAATTTCTCGGACATTAAGGCCGATAAATGTCGTTAATACTTTTTATTATAAACAGAGCATTTACTTAAATTAAATATTTGCATCTATGAAAAGAACGTATAAACATAAAAAAATGTCTTAAAAATATTTGTCGAACTTTCTCCATTTCATAATATATATATATATATATATATATATATATATATATATATATATGCGTCTAATGTTACAGGTTATTACTGTTACGTTATACGGTATATATATGCTTACATACATCTACAGAAAAGAAAATTCGACGTCTTTACAAACACACACACGCCTATATTTCCATTCATGACTGTACACATATATACACTGCGTATGTAATATGTAAATGAATATATTTAGTAATAAGTAAAAGTATTGAAGGAACAAGAACGAGGTAAATAGATAGATAGATAGATAGATAGACAGAAAGAAAGAGAGAGAGAGAAAGAGAGAGAGAGAGAGAACCAAAGAAATGTCATCTGTGCATGTTTAAGCATTTTTTTCTAACAATAAAAGTACAGTAAATGTCCATCTTAAGTGGATTGCCCATTTCATATGAAGAAATCGAGTTACTCAAAAGAAAAAGCATAAACACAAATAAAAAAAAAAAAAAAAGTTGCCCCCACGGTCGTATCTTCTCGTTCCTCCGATTCCACCCACCTCGGTTAAGAATTACAGTAGCTGAACATTTTGGGTCACTTTATTTTAGAATTTCGTCCATAATTGTCTTTTTTCCCCCTCTGCCCTAGTTTATAAACGATAAGCGAAACTCCCAAAGTGAAGTTGAATATAAGAATGAATAGAGATTCTAGAATCAAACTAAATGCTGTCAGCCATAAGGGAAGGGTTGATTTTAAGACCATTTCTATGCAAAAGTGGTCATATTATTTGAGCTGCTTTCTCTGCGGACGAACTTCATTTAAAGACGGATTTTGTATGACTTGATTTTGGGCCAGCATAATTGTATTTTTAGACGAAATTCATGCAAATGTTCTATGATTATTTCTGCGTTTGCCGTTTCCGAAACAATTGAAACAATTTTTTTTTCTCTTTTAGAGAATAGTTTCCATGTACACGTGGAATCTTTTATCGCATTCAAACGATGGTTATTTGAAAGCAGAAATATTTTAATGCAATATCTAAATGAAAAATACGAAAATTATTAAATGTCATTCGAAATAATTTTTTCTAATAATCCTATTTAATACAAACGACTTTTTGTAACAATTAGAAATATATGTAGAATTAATTGTTATAAGTTTATGTATTAAGTAAATCTTTTCTTAGAAAATGATACATTTTAATATGTTTTACCTATTTTCCAAAGCCGAAAGTACGGGGCATCTAGTGAGGATCGAACTCACTTTTCAGTTGTAACTGATCTAGCGAGATAAGCTTGCTAACTTTTACACCACGCCGAGAAGGCTATGTTTTACTGGTTTTAACATGGACACACGTGGATGAATGGTTAGAATATTCGCATTCTGTGCATGAGACCAGATCAATTTTTCAGGCATCGTGCGGCACCTTTGGAAAGTTCCTGAAAACCATACCACGAATTGACCCTAGTAGTGTTAGTAGGAAGTCACAAGTCATCGTGGCCGAGGGTTTTAGCGTGCTTTGTTCAAATAGTTGATCACGCTAAATAACACTTTCTCTCCCAGAAACTGTAACTAAGGTCTGCTCAGCATAGTTACACTATAAACCACAGGTGGGCTCTGTAGGTGTTGAACAAACACAAATGTGCCTGAGCAAGCATCTGCAGTAGGGATTGGTTAGCCGCCCTAATAGACGAGTATACTTGAATACGAGTGGCCAGCTATACTGGTTTGAACGCCTAAGCAAATTCTAGTTATAGAGAGTCAATTTCTACAAACATTTTGAAAAAAAAAAAAAAAAACGAAATAAAAACGCCATGGAATTACATTTTTTTTTTTGAGTGATGAAAAGTTCTCTAACCAACGAAGAAAGTATTCTAAAACAGATGTTGACGTTGAAGATCTTAACAGAAATAAATCGTACGATGTATAAATTAGGCACATATTAATGTTTTAATCTATAATTAATTATATTGGAAAACAATGATAAGATGAATAAAGAAATGAAATGAGTAAAAACATTGAATGAATTGCTTCCGACTATTTGCATTCAATTTGCCGTTTATTTTCCTTTTGGCGATACAACAGAGTAGTAAATACATTTTGCAATGCATTGCTATTCTCGTCGTTTACTAATTTACTTCTATTATTTTTCGACTTCCTATAGCTTCTACATACATACATATATATATATATATATATATATATGTATATAAATAAAAAGAAAGAACAGTAAGATATAAAATCCGGTGTTCTTATAGATATTTTATTTTATTTATTTATTTTTTATTTTTTTTTATTTTTACAAAATAGTGCTCAATGTAAATTTACAGAGCATTAATATTATAAATTAATTGATTTAAAATATGGTTATTTTCGCTACACAGTTCCAACCATGTTTCAAAAATAGAAGCTAAAACCCTAATTTTTTTTTGCAAATAAATTAAAAGCATTAGTTCCATTTCATCTTCAAGCGAATTTTGGAGTAACTTTTAAAATTTACCGGGTTTTAAATACACAGCTAAAATCACGTTTCCATGGTTACAGAATATTCTACTCAAATTGAACACGGGGTGTCTAGATTTTCCTTATGACAGTATCATTGTATCAGTTATTAGCTACATTTTGGTAAGGGGTGAGGATGTATTTTACACTGAAAACCTGACGTCGGTTGAATGGATGTCGTCTGAATTTTAAAAAAAAAAAAAAAAAAATTGTTAACGGTAAAAATTTTCAACGTCATCTTTTAAAATTAAAGATTTTTTTTACAATACTTTTTATTTAACTACGATTTGAAATATTTTCCTTTTTAATTTTTTATTTTACTATATTCTTTTTAAGAACAGTTAAATGTATTAGAATCCATTATATTATGTAGGATTATTTTAACATTAAGTTTAAGTATGTATATGAGGTTTTATTTTTTTTTTTTTTTGTATATGACTATGACAGCAGAAATGGTTACTTAATTTCACTGGTTCAGTAAACTTTTCTTTTATATATAAACCTATTATTATAATATTTCACATGTAAGTACTGAGGACATGGGTCATTCAAAAGCTTACATGTTATGGTATTTCATATTAATTTTATTTTACTATAGGTGTTATTTTTGGATTCTTTTTAATGTGTGTAGTATTATTTAAAAGAAATTTAGGTTAGAATTCATTCAATTTAACTACAATTTTAATTACAAATTCAAAATTACAACTTTAAAATTTTAAAATATTTTCATTGTTTAGTTTTAATAGACTATATTACTTTTATAACAGAAGGAAAATTACTCATATTAAGTAAGATTATTTTTCCATATCAAAGTATATATAAATTTTTTTTTTTTTTTTTAAATTTAAATATTATTTAAGTAATATTAATGGCACTTACTACAAAACTAGCTAAGTCATTTTCTCAGATTTAGTAAACTTTATTTATTAATTAATTAATTAATTTATTTATTTCAAATATATGTAACCTAATTAATAAAGTTTCATATGTATGTATAAATAACATGTTAGAATTCATTTTATTTTACTACAATTTTAATTTCAATTTTAAAATTATAACTTTAAAATTTTAAAATAGTTTCATTGTACTACAAACACTTGAATGAATCCGATAAAACACCTCCTGAAAAATGAAATTATAACTAAAGCTAGATGATGTAAGGTAATGTATGACCCATTGTTCTTTGTAGATACATATGAAACTTTATTACTCAGGTTACATATATTTAAAATAAATAATTTAATTAATTAATACATAAAGTTTACTAAATCTGAGAAATGACTTAGATAGTTTTGTAGTCTGTGCCATTTATATTACTTAAATATTTAAATATAATAGTTTAAAATTGTAATTTACATATACTTTGTTATGGAAAATAATTATACTTACTATGAGTAATTATCCTTCTGTTATAAAATAATATAGTCAATTAAAACTAACAATGAAAATATTTTAAAATTTTAATGTGGTAATTTTAAAATTGTAATTAAAATTGTAGTTAAATAAAATGAATTCTAACCTGTTCTTGGTACATACATATGAAACTTTACTACTTAGGTTACATATATTTAAAATAAATAAATAAATTAAGTAATAAATAAAGTTTACTAAATCCGAGAAATGACTTGGCTAATTTTGTAGTAAGTTCCATTAATATTACTAAAATAATATTTTAAAATATAAAGGTTTAAAATTGTAATTTACATATACTTGGATATTGAAAAATAATTTTACTTACTATGAGTAATATTCCTTCTGTTATAAAGTAATATAGTCTAATATAACTAACAATGAAAATATTTCAAAAAGTTTAAAGTTTGTAATTTTAAAATTGAAACTAAAATTAAAGTTAAATTGAATGAATTCTAACCTAAATTTCTTTTAAATAATACTACACGCACTAAAAAAGAAACCCAAAAAAGCAAATATAGTAAAATAAAATTAATATGAAATGCCATAAGATGTAAGCTTTTGAATGACCCATGTCCTTTGTACTTACATGAGAAACATTATATCACTAGGTTTATATATATATAAAAAAAAAAAAAAAAAAAAATGTAACCTCATATACATACTTAAACTTGAATTAATACATAAAGTTTACTAATTCTGAGAAATGACTTAGATAGTTTTGTAGTCTGGGCCATTAATATTACTTAAATAATATCTAAATTAAAAGTTTAAAATTGTAATTTACATATACTTTGATATGGAAAAAAAATTTTACTTACTATGAGTAATTATCCTTCTGTTATAAAGTAATATAGTCTAAATTAAAACTAACAATGAAAATATTTTAAAATTTTAAAGTTATAATTTTAAAATTGAAATTAAAAATTGTAGTAAAATAAAATGAATTCTAACATGTTATTTATACATACATATGAAACTTTATTAATTAGGTTACATATATTTGAAATAAATAAATTAATTAATTAATTAATAAATAAAGTTTACTAAATCTGAGAAATGACTTAGCTAGTTTTGTAGTAAGTGCCATTAATATTACTTAAATAATATTTAAATTTTAAAAAAAAAAAAAAAAATTTACATATACTTTGATATGGAAAAATAATCTTACTTAATATGAGTAATTTTCCTTCTGTTATAAAAGTAATATAGTCTATTAAAACTAAACAATGAAAATATTTTAAAATTTTAAAGTTGTAATTTTGAATTTGTAATTAAAATTGTAGTTAAATTGAATGAATTCTAACCTAAATTTCTTTTTTAAATAATACTACACACATTAAAAAGAATCCAAAAATAACACCTATAGTAAAATAAAATTAATATGAAATACCATAACATGTAAGCTTTTGAATGACCCATGTCCTCAGTACTTACATGTGAAATATTATAATAATAGGTTTATA